CATATTCATCCCCGAGGAAGGCAGTCGCCAAATTCACCGAAGGTTGTTTACTGGTTATATTATGACGTGTACGTATGCCGTGTCTGTTTGACGTGAGATACTCAAAATTGAGCAAAACTTATGCTCGTACGGTAACGTAACAAACAGCTGCTTTCGGTTGTTTACATATTTACAAAATACACCGGTGCCGAAATGAATCAAGAATATCTGAACTATATGGTTTATACAAAAAATACAAGGACAAAAAAAGTTCAGAAGGTATAAAGTTTGACCATTCGAAATTGGGATAATGGTGGTTATCAAATCCAAGTGTTCCGACGAAGGAAAACATTGGAGCCTGATGAATTGTTCTCACACACAAGGATTTCGCCGCCTGTGTATGAATTGCTTTTAAGATTAGTGAGCGATTCTTTGAGGAAGCCAAAACAGCGGATTGGTCCTGAGAAAAGACTATCTTTGGTTTTGCTGTAAGTATATCTATTCAGAAAGCGAGACTTCAAGTCCATTAATATTTCCTTCATAATGGTCGTTAAGACATTTGTCACAAGGTGTATCTGTGAAGAGCATTGCATGGAGCTATAAGTTAGGTGAAACGACTGTGCGAAAAATAATACAAGAAACTTGTGAAGTTATCTGGCGGCTACTTTCCCCAGTCTACGTTAGCGAACCTACTGAATCTCAGTACAAGAACATTGCTAAGGATTTTGTTGATAAATGGAACATTCCAAACTGTGTTGGTGCAATAGATGGCAAACATGTTGCAATCAAGTGTCCAGCGAATTCAAGTTCGATGTTTTACAACTACTAAAAACTCTTAAGCATCGTCCTGATGGCCGTTTGTGATGCCAAATATACCTTCACTGCAGTAAGCGTCGGAAGTTATGGTAGTCAAAGTGACGGAGGTATTAAAATATATCTATACTAATTATATAAAGAGAAGTCCCTTTTTTTTGTAACAGGTAATCTCGCGAACGGCTGGTCCGATTTTCATGAAATTTTGTATACAAATAGCTTTCGGTAACCGCCATGTTTTAGGCTAAAAAAATTTTACTTTTTTTCGGGTAGGTGGACCAGGGACCAGTCTATTCGAAAAAATCTTATTATGATCCGATTTGCTTAAAATTTAGTACGTAAGTAGCTTTTTAGCATATATTAGCATATATGACCCATTTTTTCCGGGAAGTGGTCCAGGGACCGATCTATTCGAAAAAATCGTATTTACGGTCCGATTTGTTTAAAATTCGGTACGTAGGTAGCTTTTTAGTATATATTAGCATATATGATCCATTTTGTCCGAGAAGTGGACCAGGGACCGATCTGTTCGAAGTATTCGTATTTATGGTCCGATTTGCTTAAAATTCGGTACGTAGGTAGCTTTTTGCCTGGATAAGCTTATAGATTCCTGTTTTCCAATTTTCATGCAATTTCGAATATAAATAGCTTTAAGTAACGACCATATCAAGGAGCCAATTCGGCACTAGGCGAGATTTTTTTGCGCCAATCAGAAACAACGGGTACTGTCAAAATATAATTATAATATATAATATATCTCAACTAATATATATTTAGAAAGCCGTTTGTTAGTTTTCGCAAGGCTCGAGAGCGGCTGAACCGATTTTTTTGAAACTGCCACCTGCCGCACGTGTCCCAAGGATGGTTTTAGGCTAAAAAAAATCTATATGTAAAGGGGGAGTGGCACTTCCCATACAAACCGAATTTCTCATGCTACATATCTCTGAAAGTGTGCATGGTAGAGTTTTGGAAATTGGTATGGAGATATACGAAATCAATCGCATACCCTTGGAGAAAAATTTTAGCTATTGTAAAAAGGGGTGTGCAAAAACGTGCTGCCAAGTGGTGCTGAAGTCGAGCTATTACTAAAAATAGCCAAGTGAGAAAAGGGGCCGTGAAGGTCAGTTTAAATCGACCTGTTGCACCATTGAGTATATCGAACGCTCCTGCGTTGCAATTGGCCCAATGGATGTGATTTTCCAATATTATTATACGTTCAAACTTTTAAGGTATTTCGTCTAAAATAAGTATATGTATATTGCATTTCTGTAGAACAATGATTCGCACTCATTTTGAAATTGCCACCTACTATACTGTAAAGCTTCTAGGACATTCACTATAGAACCGGATCATTGTTGCCGCCAGGGAGTGAAGAGGAAAAAATTTATTTCGCTTTGCGAATAACCGTGCTATGAAATTCCGCATAACTGGAGAATTTCAAGAACTTCTTCACGGATATAACACTTTCCTTAGGTTATTTAAAGCGGAAAATGACCACCAAACCCTAATCTTAGCAGACAAGTGTGCCAATGAAAATCGTAAACGTGAATAGTTGGTGAAAATGTTTGACCAAAAAGTTTCAATAAAATATATAAAAATTTTGGGCGGGACGAAGTTCGCCGGTTCTGCTAGTATAATATAAGTTATTCCACCTAATGCACATGTATGTATGTGTATTTTACAGGAATTTTTCAACTTTCACCATTTGGGCAGAACTTGATGCGAAATACTCTGCCATTACCGCCCCCGCGCCTTTATCTACACAGTCACCAGAACCATTACCACATTATTTCGTTGGCGATGCTGCATTCCCGTTGAAAAGAAACTTGATGCGACCATATCCCGGTTCTAACTTAACAAGAACCAAGCGGCTTTTTAATTACCGTCTTTCACGGGCACGTAGGGTTATAGAAAATAGTTTTGGAATATTAACGGCGCGATGGAGAATACTTCGCACAGCGATCGAATATGACCCTAAAAATTTTGAAAAAATAGTGCTAGCCTGCATTGCTTTACACAATTTCATAATTTTAAACGATCACAATCGTTGGTATTGCCCTGAAAACTATGTTGATCGACAAGATGCAGGTAACATCGTTCATAGTGGGAATTGGCGACGCGAAATAAATAATGGACCCTCTTTACCACGTATGTGGTCAACAGTTCGGAGAGCCCCAACAAGTGCATTCAATATCCGAGATATACTTGCTAATTATTTCATAAATGAGGGAGCTTTACCATACCAAGATGACATAGACCTTTCCATTAGTGGACCCTACATATAAAATTCCAACACATGTGTAGAAAACATAAACATAAAATCAATTCATATGTAAATGTTTATTTATGAATTCTTAGATATATTGAACCAAATTTAAACTGGGACACGACATTTTAGCAAGTTCTGGTTATTTTTCTTTAGTTTATTTAATGTTTGATATTTTTTTTAATGAAATTATAACCTATTACTTAGCAAAAATCATATACAGTGGCGCTCGCGTAAATAGCACACTTTAATTTTCCACAATATTCACAATGTTTTACCTGATACAATTCTTTTCGTTAATTTAATTATATTAATAAGATTTTAAACCATAAACCATATGCTTAAAACTTTGTGGTTTATAGTTTAACATCTTATTAATATAATTAAATTAACGAAAAAAATTTATCAGGTAAAAAATTTTGAATATTGTGGAAAATGAAAGTGTGCTATTTACGTAAGCGCCACTGTATATGATAATAGGCTATAATTCTATAAAAAAATATAAAACATTAAATAAACTAAAGAAAAATAACCAAAACTTGCTAAAATGTCGCGTCCCAGTTTAAATTTGGTACCCTGTATGTAATTTATATAAATCAATAAACTTAAAACTTCTTTGCCCTACTGTAAATTCATGTAGTTAAAAATATTTGCAAATATTTTCATTTATCAGGTAGTTCATTTAGTATCACAAAATTCAGGTGCAAAATATGCACATTTCAGGTTACATACATATTTCAAAATTCAGCCTTTTCGTACTAACTAGAACCATTGTATAACAAAAAAAATATATATATATGTATACTCCAAAACAAGCTGTTAAATTTCCATTACGACTAGTTATTTTTTAACTTTTTTAATTTTGTTTGCATTTTTTTAATTTAAAAGCTTACATTAGGTTCGTTCGCGTAGCTGTTAATTGTTCATGTTTAACCAAAACTTACAAGTTTTTGCGTTCGCGTACGCAAAAAACTTGCAAAGTAGGGGAAATTGAGAGAGCAAAGTGACATTTCATTTTGAGGGGAAGCTGCTGGATTCTGTTGGAAAAATTTTTGCCAACAGGAAAACAGCTGGTTGGCATTTACGCAAATCACAAAATTGAATTTGATGGTTTGGAAGTTAAAAATTACAAAATGCGACTAATTAAACTTGTAAGAAGTAAGTAGTTATTTGTTTAATCAATAAACTGTGCCAGGAAACAAAAATTATATCAGCTGTTCGTCTAACTTGCAAGTTTCTGCAAATTTTCTGTTCGCGTACTATTTTGGATATTTCTCTCTTGTGAGCGAACAGATGACATTTCGCCGGAATTTGGCAGTTGGTTGGTTTCTGTTGGAGATTTTAAACGAACGCACCTATTGATGAATTGCAATCAGATGGTAGACGTTTCCTTAAAATATTAATTTCACTTCAATTTGTAATATTTTATGTCACATAAATCTGCGGTTATCAAAAATTTACTGCTGTCAAAAAATTTCATTTCACACAGCAGATTGGCAAAACTGTCTCACCATAGTAAAAATATTATTCAAAAGCTTTCCTCATAGAAATGTGTTACCGATTCACACACGCCCTTAGTAATAAATAACTGAAACAAAATTCACTGTACGAGTAAGGTTAAAAAATAAATAAAAAATCAATTACAAAACAACTAAGAAACGGAATCCTCATTCTGGCTCCTGTTGCTCCTCGAAAGCCACCAACATCATTCGTTGCATGGTCCGGGTTTGTTTAGCTGCACTCATTTTGGAAATCATAGTGACAATCATTTTTCCAAATGAGTCCACTGTTGTGCTGCTGCATTCATTATCCGTTTGCAGACACTTTTTTTTGATGATGTCAATAGCTTCCAACAAGTTCTTCTCAACATCATCGCTTTTGTCGCGTTTTTTTCTACTTGATGCTGTGACTGGGGTGGAGCAGGTGACAAAGATGGCGGAGATGAAGCTTGCATGAGTGATCTTGATGGCGATGAGGAATCAACACAAATGCACGCTGGTGGCGATGTGGATGGTACAGATACCATTATTGGTTGGCGATGGCGATGGCAGAGGCACATATATCGGCGGCGAAGGTGAGGGCACGAAATCCACAATCAGAGGTGTCGGCACGGCCACCTCCGGACACACGTTTTGGGAACAGCGAGTTCTGTTAAGGAAGCATATTTGTATTAATCAAATTATGAGCATATTTCACCTGTTTTTCTACTTACGGACGAGGAATCAGGTGGGGCTTTAAAAATTGCATACTTTCAAGCAGATACCACGGTTTATAATACTCCGCGCCACTGCCTGATGGTGCTGCAGATTTTCGGACTTCTCTGCCATACCGGTCACGGAGAGCTATCCACCTCCGCATACATAGCTCACCTTTCAAAGAATTATAATATATATTTAAAAATACGAATAATTAGAATTTTCACTCACCACTTGTGTGCAACTCCTCCCATCTCTTTCTTCCATGGAACTTATAATAGGGATTACCCTTATCATACAGCTCCTTGTTTGCCTCCACCAAAGATATTAATTTTTCATCATTCATTTCTTATTTTCTCTTTCTAAAAAACTTGTGTAAATAAACTCGCGAAATGAAATTGTGTCGCTGCTTTGGTTTGTTTACATATTTTGCTTGCATCGACACAATGTTGCCATTCATCTGTTTGCATACATGCTTTTACATACATCCGAGTTATCAATTGCAAATTTTATTTGTATAATAAGCCAAAACCAAAAAGCAACAAATGCAAATAGTTCATTTATCTATATTTAACATTATTAAACATTGCTTTTAAATTATTTTAATGAAAAATTTAATTTTTGTAAGTTTATTTAGTTAAAGATTTTAAAATGTACTCTTTGGCAACACTGTATGGTGAGAGAGCACTCAGCTGACACGGATTCACGGCAAAAACCAAAATTCTCGAATTACACACGTACGCGTCAGCCGTAACCGTCGCACGTACACGGTGGTGAGTTTTCATTTACATGGCGCTCTCATAAGTTTGGTCGTGTCAGCTGACACGTAACTTACGTTTACGTCGGTGAGTGTGGGCACCTTTACTCCGCTGCTATAATTGCAAATGCAATAGAATCCATCATTTTCTGCAAAATATGTAAAATCAAAAAATTTTACTATAAATAAGCACTTGAAGAGTGTTTGTCGATGTCGATTTTTAGTAACGTAGCTACGAATTACGAATTACGAAACTTCAGGTTCTAGAAGAAGGCTTGAATTTTCGACTACAATCCTACCTTAATCCCAAGGTCACTTATAGTCGATTATTGAACAGCAAAAACTGTTTTTGGTAAATTTTTTTTTTCAGTTGCACAATTTTCCTGTAGTTTTTTATTGTTCATTAAATTACTAAAACTGACCATCTGGTAAAGGTGCGGAATAGTATTCGAGGGCTGTAGCTTTAATTTAAGCGTAAGTGGAAGGTTCTATCACCTCATGTTTCTTTGCAAGAGCTTCTCAAATATTGCAAAAACGCGAGTTTTGAAGTATGCTTGCTACAATGAACGCTTGGCACCGAATGCCTTGGCCACTAAATTAACATACTACGACAGATAAATTAATATTGCATATCAATAATTGCATGAAAAAAGTATTTTAGGGTTGTTCCTCCCTCCCCAGACCCGTTCTTAAAAAATTAAATACAAAGCTTTATGAAGGGAGATTTTGAAACAAGTTTTCGATTTATGAAGCATTATTTATTTTTGATGTGTATACATCTTCGGTTTCGGTAGGGGTACAGTTTGCAAAGCTGTAACGCATATCCCAGCACAAAATTTCGAAGGGCTTAGCATGTGTATCTCAGCATAAAATTTTTATTTTCATTAGAAGCACCCTGTGTTTGCTTGCCAAATGGTTGCATACATTTAGGCATATGCATACTAAGAGGAAATGCGCTTCAAATGATAATTGCTTCCGATTATTTAAACTCCGCATATGCATACGGCTTTGTACCTATGTATGTACATAAATATGTATGGACTCATTTGTTGCAACTGGGCATGAATCACGTAACTTTGAAACGATAGTCGTTCAAACGATACTGACAAAACGATGTTGTCAAAACACTGATTTATGCATTTGTGTTGCGGTTACGTGTTAATAGCCGTCATCGATTCGCCACTTCGCTGCTTGCTATGTTTGAGTTGCGGTCGCTTAACGAAAAATTTTGCATGTGAAAGCAACAACAAAGTTAGCTAGCACGGATAGACGATAGCGAATTTGGTTGTACCTCATTGTATTCGTTCGTTTCGCAACTCGCTAACTGTTGGCGAATCGATGACGGCTACAGTTACTGTTACGTGAAGCAAAACTGGAATCGAGTTGACGATATCGCACAAACGATCAAACAATTTTTGATTTTTATGAAGCAAGACAATCTCGACACGATATCGTTCAGACGAATGTCGTCATACGTGATTCATGCCCTGGTTTTGATATTCGTAGATGGTTTTAGGCATAGGTTTAGTAGTCTATTTTGGTAAATTTAGGAATATATACAAATAGAAATGCTCAAACTATAAGCTCAAAAACAATAACTGATGCGGTGTTTCCAAGATATTTTAACGCCCTTGAGTCACAAGTATATACAAGTATATTTTATCAATCATACCGATAATTTCATGTATTAAAATAATTAAAAATGAAAATGAATAAAAAAATTAAATCAGAAAAATGAATAAAATTAAGTGAAATTAATGTTTAATTTCTAACCTAACCTACATTTGTATGTATGTAACTGAATCGCTTAATAATAGCTTTACATATAAAAAGATTATCCTAATTTTCGAGCTTAACTCCCTAATCTGTTATTAGAAAAAGAGATTAGCCATGCAAAATTATAATTAAAAATATCTCAGATTAAACCGATAACTTTTTGGTGTCCAACTTAGTTTTATCGATTATACTTGCGAAGAAGAGGAGGAATGTCAAATGTTAAAGTAAACAAAAATTGACGCTAGTAAGGAAAATAGGTTTGTAAAGGTATTTTTAATAAAATATTCAGTTAAAATATATTTAAATGGCCTAATATGTGTTGCAAAAAAAAGTGACCACGGTGGCACAGAGAAGAAGTTTAACTTTTCCTCGAGTTGTGTGAATAACAAGCACAACCAATTTGACAGCTACCGAGCTTTGATTGAGATTATATTTATATGTAAACGTACTTTTATGCTTTGCCGTTCGCATATGTATACACATCAAATTTCATGAGTACCTAGTACTCACGCCTTTTTTTATACTACTCGGCTTTCTCATGGAAATTTAATTTATATTTTTATAACTCGAGTTTACATATCGCTTACTTCCTTCAAAGGTGTACTAATTCAATATTTACCTTATCTTGTCAATTTAACTGAATTAAGTTTTTCAAATAGGTGGCAACCCGCTTCAGAAGTATTTTCGTCAGTAAAGTTTCTTAAACCGCTTTAGTTTAACACCAGAATTGTAATATTTAAGTTATTTTATCAATTTAAATCAATGTTGGCCACTTCATAGGACGCGTGCCAAAGCTTTTAAAAGCTTTCTGTACAATTTGCATACGGCTGGAACAAAATAAAAGATTTCACTGGCCAACTCTGATTTAAATAAATAAAATTTTTCAAATATGAGACAACCCCCCCCAAATATTTCCGGCAGTAAACTTTCCTAAACCTCTTTATTTTGATACCCATATTGCAATATTTAAATTATCTTATTAATNACGCGTGCCAAAGCTTTTAAAAGCTTTCTGTACAATTTGCATACGGCTGGAACAAAATAAAAGATTTCACTGGCCAACTCTGATTTAAATAAATAAAATTTTTCAAATATGAGACAACCCCCCCCAAATATTTCCGGCAGTAAACTTTCCTAAACCTCTTTATTTTGATACCCATATTGCAATATTTAAATTATCTTATTAATTAAAATAAATAAAATATTTCATACAGGTGGCAACGTTCCAAAAAAAAAACCCGCTGTAAGCCTTTTGAAACCTCTTTATTTTGACAGCCATATTGCAATATTTAATGTATCTTATCAATTTAGCAAAACTGTAATTTTCAAACAGGTGGAAACTCTCTAATTTTTTTCTTCTCTATTTTAAGTTAGACCTCCAGCAATGCATTGGTGAAAACTGCTTTCTATTTCTATTTCTATACAAACAGACAGATAGATAAAATTTCTTAAAATTCTTGATTTGGATTCTGGTGCTCTTATAAAGACCCCTACATTAATTTTGTCTTTAATATCTATAATGTAAAAATTTGATTATATGTATGGAAATTCGATGTTCGGTAAGCACTTTATCGATTTCTACGAAGCCCAGTTCATTTATTTAAATTAATATATTAGATTATTTAAATTAAGTCTAATTGATGTTTGAAATCGAGGGAAACCCCAGCATTGCATGTACATGTTTAAAATAAGGTGAAATAAACTATATTTAATACGTGCGCGGGTATATAAAGTTCGGCTTCGCCCCAACTTATACTTATTTACTTGTTAATTAAAAAATTCGATTTGTTGATTTGGTACACTATCAACGTGGTTGTATATTCTGCTTTTATCATTTTTATACCCGAGCGCACTTGTGCACAAGGGTATTATAACTTTGTTCACATAACGGTTGTTTGTATCAGGCAAAACGAATCGAGATAGATATAGACAAATGTATACATAAATGATCAGAATGAAAAGAGAAATCGATTAAGCGGTGACTGTCTGTCCGTCCGTCCGTCTGCGCACACGATAACTCGAGTAAAAATTGAGATATCTTAACGAAACTCGGCACGTGTACTTCCTTCTGGCGTAGGACGGATGGCATTGATAATGGGCAAAATCGGACAATAACCACGCCTACCTCCCATATAATTTCAGAAATACGAAAACTGCGATATTTTAGTAACTACTGAAGATTATTCACTCAAAATTGATGTTTACAATAAGTTTTAGACGAAAAATAAGAATATTATAAATTTTTGGAAAATGGGCGTGGCCACGCCCACTTATGGTTACATGTGTATATCTTGGTAACCGCTGCACCAATTTCTTCCACTTATGGCACAGTTGTTGGCCTTCGTACAGCATACTAAATCGCCGAAACTTTTTAAAATCGGACAATAACCACGCCCACATCCCATATAAGGGTAATTTAGAGAAATACGAAATCTTCGATAAATCAGTAAATATTAAAGTTAATGTATTAAAAATTGACGCTTGTAACAACTCTTTACCAAGAAATACGTTTATTATAAAATTTTGGAAAATGGGGGTGGCACCGCCCACTTATGATAACATATATGTATCTCGGTAACCGTTCTACCAATTTGTACCAAACTCGGTA